AATGGGGCACGAGCCCCTGATGGGGAGGACTGGGCTGGCTCTGCGGGCTTCTGGGGGTGGAAGCTCTCCTGCAGCCCCCCAATTGCCCCCTCTCCCCAGATGGCAGCCTGCGGCAAGTGCAGCCGGTCTGATGGCCGAGTGCTGTGATGTGCCCAGTGTGGGCACTCAGGGCACTCCAAGCCAGGACTGCTTTGCAAGCGGGGCACCCCTGAGAACTGTCTGTCCAGGGTGGGGGTCGGGTCCCTTTAAGCACAGCCCTCGGCAAGCCTGAGACAGCATCTCCACGCTCTAAGTCCTCATCTGATGCCCTGCCGGCACTGCTTCCGGCCATCCTTAAGCCCGGTTCAGGGTCCACTTAATGTGGACATGCTAGTTCGAATTAGCAAAACGCTAATTCGAACTAGTTTTTTAGTCTGGATCCGTTAGTTCGAATTAGCTAATTCGAACTAACTTAGTTCGAATTAGCTAATTCGAACTAAGTGAGTTCGAATTAGCGCTGTAGTGTAGACATACCCCTAGACTGTTTCCATTGCAGGCAAATCTAAAGGATCACAGCCTCAGATTTGGGATGCTCCCTGGGGAGATGTTATGTTCTCTGGGCAGATGCTATCCCAGAGATTATAAAGGTGAATCTATGGTTGCACATTAGTGCTACCAGCATTCAACCTCCATCTTGGATGTTAGCACATTCTATATCACAGGTGAGCAAAATACAGCCCATGGGCCAGATTCCGCATGCCCAGCATTTCCATTTGGCCCACCAAGTTGATTAACAGAGCATGCATACTTAGAGCCAGCAGTGTGTGTTCAGCTGCCCTTCCCTTCCACCTCAAGTCCACTCATGCTAGCTGTGCAGAGCTGTGCGGACTTAGGGGAGGAAGGAAGAGGGAGTGTCCCCCGTCCCTGTACCACATCTTGTAGAGACAGTCAGGTAGAGAGATAAATACAACAGAGCTGCTCCAGTCTGAAGCATGGATGGTGAGTGACTCAAACCAGTGTCTGTCCTAAGAGGCAGTGCACTATTTCTAAGATTTCAGCGCTCTCTCTCTCTCTCTCTCTCTCTCTCTCTCTCTCTCAGGCTCACACATACTCTCTTCCTCTCTCTGCATATACCGCATCTCTGCAGAGCAAGGGAGGGTGAGGCAATAGAGCAGGATAGTGTTCCCTGTCTTAGCGAGAGAGAGCATGGCGAGGGTGACCATATTTTCTCAACTAAAATTAGGGACATGTTAGCCATGCTCCCTGCCACAAGAAGTCCCACCCCTGGAGGTAGTACTCCCAGAGCCAAGATGGACCATGACCAGAAGTAAAGGGTGGCATGTGACACTTCTAAGAGCTCCTCCCACCATCCTCCTACCAGTAGGAATGGGTTTGGCCCCCAGAGGACTTCTCCCATGCAAATACCGTGCAATTGCATTAACCCAATTTGCATTGCATGAAGTCAGGGGGAGAGGCTGGGGAAAGTGTTCCCTGTAAGATTTTCCTCCCATGAATCGAGTGAATTTTGTCTTGTGCACCAGTATTGAGTTCATGCGCACTTGTTCAGATGTGTGGCACCCAAGTTATTAATAAATATCTTATAAACCTCACCCTTTTCCCTCTGCTGCCATGTCTCCTACCTTCTCCCTTGCCCCATCTGCTTCCCTGTGTCTGCTGCCCCCTACCCCTCACCCTCCTCTGCTGTCCTGGCTCCTGCCCTTCTCACTCCCCTCAGCCCTTTTGGGGACCTGCCCCTCTCCCCTGCACCAGCCCTTCTTTTCCCCGTGTCCACTCCTCCAGCCCCACTCTGATCATCTGTAGCTATCCCTCTCCTAACACCTCCCTGTACCCACTGTCTCTCTCCTCTGTCCTCCGGTGCCCGTCCCTCTCCTCCATGTGTCTGCCCTTCTGCTTCACCCCCACAATCCCCTAGCACCTGCACCTTCCTGTTACCTCCCCCTTCCCTGACTGCCCCTGCTTTCTTTGTCCTCTTTCTCCAAGGTGCCCATCCCCTCACCACCCACTGCCCCAATTCCGCTCATGCCCTGCTGTGCCCTCACACATTACTTGCTCTATCCCCTGCCTTCCTCTTAGTCACCCCTCCTTTCAACCCCTCTTTTCTCGGCACCCACTCCTCCCCTCTCCTGTTCCTTTTGCCCCCATTGTTCCTCCCCTCTCTCAGCATCACCCTTTCTTCCAGTGCCCCTCCCCTTCCCTTGAATTGTATGAATTTTGTTTTTCAGCTGACCTTATAGACAGCTGCATGGAACAGATGAAGCACATTCATGCACAACTGAACCTAGAATCCCTGAGGCCTGGAAAAACAGTACAGAAAAAAAAGGTAACTCTAAAATCTACAAGGAACATGAACAAAATCATATCTACTGCAGAAGGTTTTTTTCATATATTGTTTGATATTTTTTCTCAGAAGTGAGAGAGTATTTGGTTAGAGTATTGTCTCATTTATTGTGTGTTAATTGAATAATTAAACCTTTGTGTAATAAAAAAAACAATTCAAATAGGGTCTCTCTTCTAATCATTGGTCCAGCTAATTTTATCTCCTTGGCTTTTCACTCTTTTAGGAAGGGAATTATGAAGAAGAGGGTTTTAACATGATTCTAAAAAAAATTGATCTACAATATTGTAAATAGTATGGATGAATATCCTATTTGTATGTATGCTGCTTTCTAATATCCCAATGATTTCTATACTGTTAGTTTTTAGTGATAGGGTTTTGGGGTTTTTTTTGTTTTTTGAAAAGAGGAATGCAGTTAGGGTTTACTATTTAAATAGCTTAGGGTATGTCTACACTACCCCGCTAGTTCGAACTAGCGGGGTAGTGTAGACATACCCATACAGTGTATATATAAGCTCTTATGCCAATTTTTGATTGCATGTTATCTGTATTCTTTAAAAAGGAAAGAAACTTGTTGTGAAGGTCACTTTTAAAGATGATTTGCTTATTTCTATTTCATCTTCTCCTCTTGCTCTCTCGTATTGCATCTTTGAGAGGTCTTTGACTCCATTACTGAGAGTCCATACATAAAGATTTAAAAACAAACACTATGGCTGTGTCTACACTGGCATGAATTTCCGGAAATGCTTAAAACGGAATACTATTCCATTTTCAGTTTTTCTGGAAAAGGAGCGTCTACATTGGCAGGCTGCTTTTCCGGAAAAGCCCTTTTTCCGGAAAAGCGTCTGTGGCCAATGTAGATGCGCTTTTCCGGAAAAGAGCCCCGATCGCCATTTTCGTGATCAGGGCTTTTTTCCGGAAAAGACTACGGGGCTGTCTACACTGGCCCTTTTCCGGAACAGTGTTCCGGAATAAGGACTTATGCCCGAGCGGGAGCAGAATAGTTTTTCCGGAATAGCGGCTGATTTTGTACAGTAGAGCATCGTTGCTTTTCCAGAAATTCAAGGGCCAGTGTAGACAGCTCGCAGCTTATTCCGGAAAAGCGGCCGATTTTCCGGAATAAGTGGCCCAGTGTAGACACAGCCTATACGTATTATTTTATAGAGAGGAAGCATATTGTATATCTGTTCATTTTTGCATGATAGAACAGAAATAATTGATGAGCTTACTGAAATAGTACTTTTCAGAGATGGTTAGTATGTTAGCATCCTACACGTAAAGGTCTTGTGCCATGAATAGAGTACCTGTGTGTTATAATACTGCCATTAAGACAAACATACTGCATATCTTACTATACCAAATAAAAAGCTTTTCCTGTGGGACAACAGATTGATGTCATCATGTTACTCTGGCATCCCACAGCTCCTCCTTCCCCTTTCCCTAGTGCTGGTTGCCACACCACACCTCTCTCCTTCCCTGCGCTTGGCAGCCAGGAGGAGAGCATGGGGCGTGCAAGGCCTTGGAGCAGTTCCTTCCTCCCCACTCCCCGCCCCCAGTGGTTGATAGGAGAGCATGAGGCATGTGAGGCTTCGGAGCATGCCCCCTCCTCTTTCAGTGGCTGGGAGGAGAGCTGGACCTGATGTACCCTCGAACGGGAGTGGGGGGTTAAGGTTGGGCCACAGCAGGGTGGCGGAGGAGAGAAGGAGCTCAGGCTGGCGCAGCTAGGGGAGGAGGAAAGGGCCTGGGCAGGTGCAGTGGTAGGCGGGGGGTGGGAGGGCAGGGGGAAGGGAGAAGGAGTCTGGGCTGTGGCTGCATCCCAGCCCTCCCTGGTGAACTGGGGGGGAGAACATGGGGTCTATCAAGTCCTTGGAGCAGTTCCCCTTCCCTCCTCTCCTCCCCCCGGAGGCCGGGGGAGAGAGCCAGGATGGCATGACCGCAGCAGCTGGGGGTGGGGCGAGAAGCCGGGCGGGATGGGAGGAGAGGCTGGGGCTGGCATGACTGGTGGTCGGGGAGAGAGCCGGGCCTGCCTACCCCCACAGACAGGAGGGTTGGTGAGCATAGCGAGCAGGGGATTCTAATTTCATAGACACTCTTGAAACTTTTTTGTCTACACAGGGGGATAATCTTATCAGGGAACTAAGGGTTGTTCTTCAGCTCCTAAGAAACTGCCTCTTTCAAAATGAAAAGTGCAAAGTAAGTAGCCGTACTTTTTGTATTATAATATTACTACATACAGCTAGTTTGAGATCTAAGAATAAAGGTTATGCACTTGTTCAATTTGAAATATTGTTCAGGTTGCGTAGACCTCATCTTAATATCAGTAGCCAGAAATTACTTTAATTTCATTGTTTCCTCTTGCAGAGAACATTGCATGCGTACATCAGACATTTTAAGTCTGACATTGAAAGTTCAGTGCCTAGCCTTTAAAACAAACCTCTACCAACAGACATGGAATGGGATGCCAAACTAAAAATATATAGATCCTGCTTCTGAGGTTATAATCAGAGTTAATTTATTACAGGCCTGAAATCTTCACACTTGGTGACGCACCCTCTGCTGCTTTTAGCCATTGTGTTGCAGGAACTCCTGGTAGAGTGACAGCAGTTATAATAATAATAATAAAATATATGGAGATACACCATCTCATAGAACTGGAAGGGTCTTTGAGAGGTCATAGAGTGCAGTCCTCTGCCCTAACAGCAGGACCAAGTACCATACCTGACAGATTTGCCTCAGATCTGTAAATGGCCCCATCAAGGGCTGAACTCACAACCCTGGGTTTAGCAGGCCAATGCTCAAACCACTGAGTTATCCCTCTCCCCTCAGTTCAAGTTCCATCAGGAGTTCCCCAGGTGAAATGGTTGTAGTCAGACCCTATGGAGTAGTAGCTTCTAGTGTATCAACTGCCTTGGGAAAAGACATGTCACATCAAAGTGCCCTCATTGGCACATCTTGAATGCTAGGTCCCCAAAGCACCAAGATATCCAATTGAGACTTAGGGAGAGATCCTTGAGACCAACCTCTGACCCTGGTCTGGACACTTTTCTCTCACGCAGCTTTCACACTTTGCTAAACTGTCAACTGATACCACTAAGGAATGTGGTGGTAGGCCTTCAAAAATGTACTGACTGCCCCAACCAAATCAACTTCTGGTGCAATGGCACCGACCATTTTATTGGCAGAGAGCAAGCCCTCAGTACTAATACAACCTTTGTCTCCAAGGAGGCCTTTGGTGCTATGTAAAACCTGTACTCCATCTATTGGCCATTCCTGAGATTGCAAAACCTTTAACTTCACAAGATATCACCCCAGCTTGGGTGATATCATAGCTTTGTCTTGCATTGTCTCACCAGACTACCATTCGAGCTAATGGCTGCATTCCCTTAGCGCTCTCTATATATAAAAAAAAGATTTTCCTTCCGGGCGACAGAATGATGTCATCATGCTCTCTGGCCGCAAAAGTGGCCAGAGAGAGAGGGATGGGCGAGCGAAGTGAGCACAGGGCACAGCCTGCTAGTATTCATCGATCTATGACAACAGCTTTCTTGTCACTATCAGCTCTACCTTTGGGATAAAGACACGGTCACGTTATTTCCGCATACAAAATTCTTACCCAGGATTCTGTTCTTCTATTTAAATCAACCTATTCACCTTCTCTGCTTCTTCCCAACACCACATAACAATCATCAGAAGGCAGTGTTGCGCACCTTGGATGTTAGCTTTTTATCTGGGCAGAACTAAATCTTTCAGATAATTGCAGCACTTCTTTTAACGGCTAGAAGTTCAAAAAGCAATGGCCATATCCAAACAATGGCTTTCCAAGTGAATCTCTCAATATAGACACCTTTCTTACCAACTGTAGAATCAGCAACCTGCTCCTGGAACTCTAGCACATTGAACCCACTCTCTATCCACTCGCATTGCCTTTCTGAACAATGTCCCAGTTACAGACATTTGTAAAGTGCCCGCGTAGGTCTCCACAGACATTTTTAGGTGTCATTACACAATTAAAATCGATGCAGCATCAGATGCCCTATGAGGACCCACAGTCCTATTATCTGCATTAAATGCTACTCCAAAGCCATAGCCTTCCAACTAGGAAGGCTGCTTTATGATCTCTTATAGTGGAGCCATCACTCAAAGAAGATTACTCAAACTTGCAGTAACTAAGGTGATTAGAGATGTGTGTCCCTATGGGTGCTCTACTACCCTCTTCCCTTCTGCTTCAGAGCTGAAATACAAGTTACTGCCAAGTTAATTAAAAGTAGCCAAGTCAATTTTAACTCTGAAGTCTAAAGTACATTAAATGATCCTTTGAAGTAAAAATAATTTTTAAAGAATTCTGTTGTATATTAACATTCTTTAATTGCCTTGGTTTGCTTTCAGTATTGCACAAAATACTTTAAAACTATATTAATTATTGTTCTGTGCATTCCTCCTCATCCCTTGCTTTTAGATGGCTGCACTTAAGGCTCATCTTGTCCCTGTCCTCCACTCTCTGTGGCCATGGTTTTTAATGGATGACTCCTTAATGCAAATAGCTCTTCATTTGCTTTGTGTCTACACTGCAAACTATCCCACAGGTAAAAGACTCAAGTTTTGATATAATATGTTGAAACAATTTAAACAGAGGAGCATATATTTTAAATCTGAAAGTCTCTCTTCAAGTCTTTTGGGGAAGGGGGGAAGGTGGTATTTTCAAAGAGCCTATATTAAATAGATATTAAAGTTTAGTTAAGACTCAATGCTACTGAAATCCCTATAAACCCACTACATTGTAATATATTCTGTGGAAATACCATCTTCAGGAATTATGTGGCAGATAATAGTAAAACAAGATTTAACTATGGATCTCCTTTGCTGCAGCAGTCTGCTCACACACTACAACTTGCAGCATAAGTCCTGAATCTGCCAAAAACACAGACAGCATTAACAAATTTAAGTGAACTTTGAGGAGTTAACTATGTTGGTGAAAATTCTGGTAATCGTGTGTGTGTTTATTAGCCATATTTTAAAAGAACGTTGAAAAACTAAAGGCTGCAAAAGAGCCACAACAGTTATTTGAGGGCTCAAGAAAATGCCTTACTGTCAGAGATTTAAAGAGCTCAATCTGTTTGATTTGTCAACAAGAAGACAGGTGACTTGATCATAGTGTGGAATCTAGAAGAGAGACTCATAATAATCATGCTGAAAGCAGACAAATTTTTAGAATTCTTATAAACAAGACATACATTTTTAATAGTAATGTGACTATCTAGTAGAACAAATTATCAAAAGAAGTGGTTGATCCTCCTGACAACACCTTCAGATCAAGACTGGATGCTTTCTGGAAGTTTATGTATTAGCCAAACACATTATTGATATCAGTACAGAGGCAACGAGGGTGAAATTTACTCGTCTCTGATAGGTAAGAGGCCAGACTGGATGATGTAATGGTTCCTTCTGACCTTAAAATGTTTGAATCTAGGTTAGAAGGAAGTTACTTTTTGTTTTGCTTTGCTTACAAGGGGATGTGGTTTCTGTTGATCGTGTTCTTTCTTACTATTCAGGCTAGCTACTAGCTGAGCCAACCCACTCAGCTTACGAGTTCATTAAACCACTTCCGTTAGTGTTCTAGAAGTGTAGCAACGTTTGTTGATGCTTGTCTATAAGTAAAAGCTAGGAGTACTATATTTTTTCCTATTACTATCTACTATATATTGAGGGTCTAACTCAGTTGTGTATGTGCCTGCTGGCTGCTACTGCAATATAAATTTGAAATAAGTGTAAGGTAGGAGTGTGGGTGTATCTGTAATGCAAAAAATAATGGGGGGGAAGTGTGGAAGAAAATAGAGGAACAACTGTAAACAATCAGGGCAGGTCTGCTAATTTTTACTGAGCAGAAACTGTGCACATTACCTTAGATGTAGTTCCTGTGAAAAAAATCCTGATTTTTTTTTTATGAAGTTCTGTCAGCTATAGCTTTGCAGAACTAAGAGCTCATTTCTGCAAATTGTTCCATGCAAGTAGGTCTGTATACGTTGTTGGAATGCCATGCACAATAGTTTTTTGTATTGAGGTCAATCTTTGTATTTCAGAAAAATAAAATGACCACTTAAACTGGCCTCGTTTTGCCAGATAATATAATAAAAATACCTTGTATTTCACACATTGCAATTATATTAAACTAGAAAATGTACCCAATGTTGTTCAGGTTCTTAAATAAGTTTTGTTTCTTTTCATTTAAATCATTGTTCTGGGATAGGATTGGGGATGAGGGATTCAGTATGCTGTCAGCCCCGGGGAGAGAGAACAACCTCAGATCTCTCTTAGCACAGCAGCTTGCTGCCCCCCCTAGGTCATTCTACTTTATAACTGTCCCTTCTTCCAGACCCTTCCCTTTCCATTTTATGGGAAACAATTGAATTCCAGGCACATGATTGTTTTGGCATAACCAAATCCTTACCTTGCTTTAAGTTACGATAAGAAGAAGCTACATACCAGATTTGGTGGTCCAACTCTTACTGTATAAAGGAGTTCTTGAACAAATGGATTCATGGATTGATGGACACACAGACAGATGTAAAAACTCTCTCAAATATGTAGTGGATCTTATAATCCAGAAATCACTAACTTCAAAATTAATTTTATACCTTGCTTTTCTTTTTGAAGTTATAAGACCTTGCCTCATGCTATTGTGGAAAGTGGAATAATGACATTGAGTTCTGAGTGTGATGATATTTATTTAATAGCCATTACCTTAAAGTTTTAATATAAATAACTGAAAATTTAAAACCTCACTGACTAGCAAAAATAGTGCTATTTTTCCCTAAATAAACATAGCTGTAAGTGTTAACTTGATTGCTGGAGAGTTACTATTCCACACAAAATCAACCAAATGTAACCATATAGTCAGAAATATTTTTTCCAAATGTTGAGTAATTTTTTTTAAGATAAGGCTTTTGGTTGCTGCTGTTTATCAAATTTTGCAAAACAATATGTTTTTGGAAGATGATGTTTCTTCCAGTGATTTGCAATAGAACTTCTAAATACAGCTCACCAGAAAATCAGAATATTATTTAATTAAAACTAGCAGGCTGTGCTCCATGCTCACTAACACCCCTCTCTCTGACTTCTTTTTCATGAGACTGTGGTGATGTCATTTTGTTGCCTGGCACGATAAACTTTTTTTTAGAGAGAGAGCAAGATCCCTTTTTTATAGAGAGAGATCCTGGCTCTGTGCAGCGCTGCCCCTTGTAAAGGCCATCCCGGCATTTCCAAGGAGCAGCACCACGGGAGCCCGGGATCAGCTGGAGTGCCCAGCTGATGCCCAGCTCCACATTGCGCTATTCCTTGGAAACGTCGTCCCAACTTCAAAGGGGCAATGCATTAGGAGCCTGTGATCACCTGAAGTCCCCAGCTGACCCCGGGCTCCGTGCAGTGCTGCCCCTTCGAAGTGCTGGAGCAACACTTCAAAGGGGCAGCCCAACGTGGAGCCGGGGATCAGCTGGACGCTCCAGTTGATCTCAGACTCCTAATACACTGCCCCTTTGAGGTACCGGGGCAGCACTTCAAAGGGGACATGAAACATGGAGCCTCGGATCAGCTGGAGTGCCCAGCTGATCCCTGGCTTTTTGTTGTGCTGCCCCTTCCAAGTGCGACTCTGGTACTTCAAAGGGTCAGCTGGGGACTCCAATTGATTCCAAGCACGTAATGTGCTGCCTCTTTGAAGTGCCAGGCTGGCGCTTCAAAGGGGCAGCGCTGCATTAACTCCTGCGATTAATGCATTTAAAAAAATTAACTCATTAATCCTGCCCTACATTAATCGCAGGCATTAACACACATCAATTTACAGCCCTATTTTTCATATATTCACAGCTGAGGAAATTGGAGAAGATTTAATTTCTTTGACATACCCAAAAATATGGCTCTTTGGATTTCCTACTACCAAGGCTCGCCAAGAGGCGGCGAGCCCTGCTTGCCAGCCGCGTGGAAGCACGCACTGCGCATGCGCTGACTGCACTGCACAGCCCCGCCAGGTTAAAGTCTACTCGCCACGGGCGAGTAGATTGCCTAATTTGTCGAGCCCTGCCTATTACAATAACATCTAGATGTCCCAAATAATACAAGATTTCCATTGGAGTGTGACTTTTATAAATACATAGCAAAAAAACAGGACTTGCCTAGTAAACTTACTATCTAAATAGAGAGACAGAGGTAAAGTGCCTTGCTCAGTCATATAACAGGTTAGCAGCAGATCTGAAATTAAAACCTGAGTCTCCTGATTTCCATCCCACTTTCTCTATTGTCTTGATTATACTGTCTTTCTATAGATATTGTATATACAGTTTATATAAACTCCTCCCATCCATCTGTTGGTAACTTCTTAATTTTGGAATAGTGAGGATGTCTTCTGTAAATGTTAATCATAACAATGTTTCATTCTTTAAGGCTGTGGTTCACTTTGCTGGGTGAGCAGTGGACTGTCTCCATTTCAGACTGCACAGAGAAGCACGGCCAGCAACTCACTAATACACAGCATTATCAAGTTAGCTTCCCACACACTGACAGAGAGCAGCGCAATTCAGCATATGGTCTTTACTCTTCTTTCCAATCTTGCTATTTGTCATGACTGTAAGGGAGTTATTCAAAAGGTAAGGAGGTAACATTATTTATTACTTGTTTCTATATTTACTTTTTCAGTACCTAGTCAGCTGCAAGGTGCATCACAAAACTAAGACAAGACAAGTTCCTGACTCTCAAGAGCATATACTCAATGCCCAATCCAGAAAACACTTACAGAGCTGAATTATGACAAGTTCCTGACTCTCGAGAGCATATAGTCAATGCCCATTCCAGAAAACACTTACAGAGCTGAATTACTTTGTGCACATGAGAAATCCCAAAGATGTGAATGGGATATATTTATAAATATTTGCAGAATCTGGCCCTACCCTCAACATGACCTAATTAAGAGGGCAGGATAGGGAAATGATAATAAATGGCTGTCATAAAACTATGACACACACATGCTGTGTACGGATGTGAAGATTTAACTAGTTAACCAGCAGGACTGGAGCAGGCAGATAGCTACTTCAGCCCTGTGAGAGGCCTGCCATGGACAGGGGCTGAAGCAGCACAGCCTTACCTGCGGTGGGCCCTCGCTCCATACAGGCATGGGCTGCTCCAGCCAGGACGCTGAAGCAGCCCTTGCCTGCAGGGCACTCTGGCCTACTGCAGGCAGGGGTGTTCTGGGCAGGCTTCAGCAGCCCTGCCGGTGGCGGGGGAGATACAGCTCTGGAGCGCCCTACTCCTGCTCACACCTTCCCCTTAAATTAGTTAACCGGTTAAACAATATGTTTAATCAGTTAGCCAATTAAACAGGATTTTACAGCCTTAGTACCCTGAGTTATTTTCAAAAGTAGTGTAATTCAGAAGTTCTCAAACTTTTCCAAAATTGTGATGCACCTTACTGTGTGTGTCAGACCACATCATCTGCCTTTCTCCACACCATATTCTCATCATTCACAGTTATTTAATATCCCCAAGGAAGCTGCAGGAAGAGGTATAATAGAAACACATTTATGTAGTTTTAGATCTCCTTAATTTGTTGTGTTTTGTCCTATTTGACAACTGTTACTTTTAACGATACACTTTTTTCCTCTCCCTCCTTTCTGTTCTGTTTTTTCGTCTTCTCCCCTTCCCCTCCACATTCCCGTGCACATTAATTTCTACTTGGTCCCTTTTTCCTAACCACATGTCTGTCTCCTCTGTACTGATTTCTCTCCTGCTTGTGGCGAAAGGCCCTCCATGGGTCGGATCCAGCCCACCAAGCAAGTTGATCCGGCCCGTGGAGGCCCTGCCACTACCCCTGCCCCCAGGCCAATCTTCTGCCCTAAGGAGTTCAGAACCGGTTCAGGACAGCTGGCGGTTCTATCGGGAAAGGGGGGAGGCCAATCAGGGTCTGTGGTTGGGGAAACATGGAAGTATCCTGGCCCCTTCTGAAGTGGCCCCCAGTCAAAAATTATTGTCCACGCCCGCTGTTAGCATTTGCCCCCTTTCTCCCTTTTATGTAGTTGTTTCTTCCTTGTTTCCAGATTCTTTTGCTTTGCTCTTCTCTTTAGTAAAGATCTAGGGATTTGTAAAAGCAGCTGGACACAAGGAAGAGTGCCACATGATCATCTAATGCAGGGATGGGGAACCTTTTTTTGGGTTGGGGGCCACTAACCCACAGAAAAATCAGTTGGGTGGGGAGCAGCAGGAGCTGGAGTGCCAGCACGGGCTCTCCAATGTTGCGGGAGGAGGAGCCCTTGGCCCTGGGGGGCTGGATCCATGCATCTGGACCCTGGGCCTTAGGTTCCCCACCCCGATCTAGTGCTCAGTCCATGAAGCATAGTTGGTTCTGCTTTGCATCTGATGTGAATTTTATTATAAAGAGAGCAACAGATATGAGTGACACACTACTGATCCTTATAGCTGGACAGGCTCTTTTTCAAAGTACATTGGCGCTACCCTTTGCACTGACCAAAGTTCCATTAAGCCTTATTGCAGAGGTGGGGGAAACCTCTTCAGGGAGTTCCATTCTATTGCTGAAAATGGGAGAGGTTGGAAGCTCAGCTGTTGCAACCATAAAGAAGCATTATTTTACATAAACCATGTTACTAATTATGCAATAGCATCATATAGATTTATAGTAATAATTTGATGCATGTTGTATTTTAATACACTTGTTAGAAAAATTAAGACAAATTTTAAGTTTTCAGTTAACTGAAATTTAAATTCACTATTGAAAAGGAAATGGGAGATATGTAAATGATAGAGAAAGAGAGAGGATAAGGTCATTGGCTCAGCTTCTGTTGATGAAGGTGACAAGCCTTTTAGGGTCACAGATCTGCTCTTCCTCAGGTCTGAAGAAAGTAACTAGAGGGTGTGACGTAGTGGGGGTAATTGCTGGGCTGTGGTGACCCCTGCTGTCTGGAGCAAGACCCAGCAGGGAAAACCTGGCTAGGCAGAGATAAGGCCAAACTGGTTGAACCAGTGGCCAGACACCCCCCATGGAGAGGAACAAACAGATAGTTAAAATGAAGTGAGCCCTTAACACCTCTGCAGACCTACAGCAAAGAAGGCTTTGTAGACAGTAGTGTATGTCTAAACAGCTATTATGAGCCATAAAACTAATTTTTTGTGTTAAGTTCCTGATTTTTAATGTCCAGCAGAATTATGAGGGATGTTGATGAATAGAAAAGTGACATCCATGATGGTAGGCACGGTGTTCTGAGGAAGCTTGTTAATTTTGCAGTTTCTGGAGGACACTGTCCTTTTGTGTTGGTGATTGCTCTGAGGGTGATTAATGAGTCTTGATAGTCCTTCAGTAAGATTGCTGTTGCAAAATATGATGGGTCCAGTCAGAATATTTTTTTTCTTGTAACAGAGGGAATGTGATTGTTGTGAATATCATCTTTGTTGTGAAAAAATTCTTTGAGATAGTCAGTGAAACAATTCTTCTATTTCCACGTGTTAATATATGGTATCAGGTTCTGAGGTGGAGCAGAAATTCAATCCCTTACAGAGTAAAGAGAATTCTTTTTGTGTTAGGGACACTTCCTTATGTATGCTCCCCTCGCAGACTGGCTGCCTGTTGCCCTGTGCTGCTGCCTCTGATAAAGAGACAGCAGCGCAGGGTGGCAGCAGCCCCTATCTAGGGTGGGTTGGAGCTCCCAAACCCAGTGCAAGCCAGAACTTAGCAGGAATACACTTTAAATGCAGAGCCACAGCAGGGATAGGTCCCGGACCCATTTCAAGTCAGGACTGAGCCAGACTGCTGGCCAGCCTGCTAAAAAATTTACTGGCAAGTGGGGGTGGGGGAATGCTTGTAGTCTATAGCATTAACCTATAAGCTTTTGCTTATTGGTTAATCGACTATACTATTACATCCCTACTTCAGATCTGAATGGAGTGATACACTCAGCTATAGACCTTCCTTATGGTACAGACCAACACGCAAGACCCTCTGTCCCATGCAGTGATACACTAAAGTTTCCATCTGCTCTAGAGCTCCCTGAAGTGGAAGAGGAGTATCCTGATGGCAAGCAAATAAAAGATACTCTGGGGCGTTTCCAAGAAGCTGTGTTCAGGAGGATGGAGTTTTCACTGCGCTTCACAGAAAAATTGGTTGACAAAGGATGGTTACAGGGTGTGAGAGGAGAGGGAAAGATCTTTGTTACCCTTTGTTTCTAGAACATTAGAGTAGATGATGCACTTTCCTGTTATGTCCAATTAGTTCTTGTTCTTTCACCACATTTCTTGAAATGTAATTAAAATGTTCATATTGTTTTTATTTTTGCATTTTCGGATCGAGAGGGTCATGTAAGCCAACAATCCAAGAATAGGACAGTGTAATTAAAACTGTTTCATTTGACACAGCACCAAGAAAGCATCAGTAATTATTGTCACTACAAGAAGCACTTACTTTTGAAGCACCTTTTTTGGCTATCACAAAATATTGTTAAAAAAAAATGGGAATAATGTGGGAGAAGGAAACTAATGATGGAAATGTGGAACATGGAGATAATACACTGGCCATCTGGAAGGTATATTACTTAGTTATGAAATAACACTGTACATTTTCTTTCTTCTGACAGAGTAACTTCTTACAGAACTTTTTGTCTCTTTCATTGCCGAAAGGAGGAAATAAAAGCCTTAGTATACTGGCTAGCCTTTGGCTAAAGCTGCTATTGAATATTTCCTTTGGAGAAGATGGACAGCAGATGATCATGAAGTTAAATGGTGGTTTAGACCAGCTCGTGGAGATGAGCAAATACAAACACAAGAGTAGTCACCATATAGCCCTTCTTATTCTGCACAACATCTGCTTTAATTCAACAAACAAGCCCAAGATACTTGCTAATGGTAGATATCCAAATGATAGCTAAGCTCTCATCCAGTTTTTGTACTACTGTGTTTTATTAACATTTGGTGTACTGACAGACAATAGCATTTTTTATTTAGTAAAGTGCTCAATTTTCTAACAATGTTGGGCAATTATAAACATAAACTGGAAAAATATGCTACAGAAAATAAGAGTATAGCAAATACATGAGAAACTAAGCATTATTTTTATAGGTTGTTCTTTGAGTGCTAGTCCTTAGGATATTCATTCTGGGTGCACATGTGCTCGATGTTCCTGGGACCATAAATCCTTCATCTGCCTTGCTGAGCAATGAAGGGAGAGGCAATATTTCTCAAAGGGCCTCGAGATGGATTTCCAGTGAATGGATCTATTTGTGCTATCAGCTTGCTGAAGTCCTTCCTCCTCAGTCTGAGGGCTCATTCTATCAGAGCCCTAGCCTCTCTTGGAGATATGTAGAATGGCATCTGGAGACTCCACACTCGCACTGATCAGACTCTATGCTCTGATTCAGTCCTTTGCTGAAGATGCTTCCTTTGGTTCAGCGATCTTGGAAAGTAAGCTCATCTTGGAATTTACCTTACCGTGAAAACTGTCAGATTGCCTTAATTCTACACCATTGTGCTGGTAGTATTAATACTGTATATATGCCTACATAGGCACCAGTTGAGACAGTTAACTTATGGTCACTGGAGTCCTTGTAGGTATTAAAAATCCATCCTCCTTTCCCTCTGCTTTTGTCAAAGCAGGAACTGGAAAGAGGGAGACTGTCTGCACCATTCCTTATTCCCTCATTTGAAAGCGTAGAAGTTGAATGGCAAAAGGTGTGGACCAACAGACATTGCTCTTGAATAATTTCTAATCTCAGGAAGGAATGTGAAGGACTAGTCAGCTATCGGATAAACAAATGCTTATTTGATAGTTGACTAGACAGAGGCAGCGGAGGGTAAGAAGGGAAAGAAGAGGAGGTACTTCAAAGTGGCCATGCTGCTGGAAGCCTGGGCCCAAAACCCTGGTCCCAGACACGGTGCTGCTGCTCTGAAATGCCATGTGTAGCCCGGGGCCAGCTACTTGGCATTTCAAAGTGGCACCGCCATGTGGAGCCCAGGATCAGGTGGGGACTCCCCCGCAGATCTCAGGCTCCATGCGGCGCTGCTGCTTTGAAATGCTGCAGGGAGCCCAGTGTTAGGTTTCTTGCAGTGTTTCAAAGAGGCAGCACCACACGGAGTCCAGGATCTGCAGAGGAGTCCCTAGCTGACTCTGGGCTCCACGCAGTGCTTTCGCATTTGAAGTGTAGCAACAGCTCTAGGGAGGCATTGACTATTCGATTAGTCAGTACTTAACATCCTTAATCTCAGGTGCATAGAGCACATGTGCATCCATAGTGAATGCTCATAAAGACCACATAGCAGAAAGAACTTTAATTTCTATCCAGTAAGTAACCTTCCTTTATTCTGAGATCTTGCTATTTTTAAATGACAATAATATAACTTGAATGGGAAGATTTTAACTAGACAGTTAAATGGGAGACCATGCCTTTTAAAAAGAGAATGGGGAGGAGCCCTGTGCATCAAACACATAGCTTTTAAATAATCTGGTTTAGAAATAGTTATGAATGCTATTTTTCAAACGAACAAAATTTGACTATGCATAGTCCCTATTCCCAACCACCAGTCAAAGCAATCTGTGCCTCTTATGTCAAGTCATGCCACTTCTGTGATCTATTCATGTACTATAGTTATGAGTATTGCATGAATTGCATGAACTCTTTGGTTGTGTGTAGAGGCCAAGACTACTTAGACAGGATACTCTACTCTTCCCTAATGAAGTTCCCGGTAGCTCTCAACTGAAGTGGTTCTCAATTTTTTCTAGATCTTTATTTAATGAGTATCTTTGATAAATAATCATTACTGAATGCCATAGTGCATTTTTATCGTGGAGGGAGCCATCAGATGTGTTGAACAAGCAGACTAGATAGCTTTTATTCCACTAAAACTCAGAGGTAAACTTTGCAGAGGAGAGAATTTTAGACGGTTAAGGCCAAAAAAAAAAAAAGTAACAGGAGGGTATTAAGCAGGTGGTACCGTATTTTCCGGCGTATAGGGCGACTGGGTGTATAAGACAACCCCCTATCTTTTTAATTAAAAGATAGGGTTTCATCTTATACTCCAGCGCCCCTCCGCCTCCTTTGCTCCCGGTGTCCCTGGTCTGCTGGAGATGGTCCCCAGCAGACCAGAGGCACCGGGAGCAAAGCCGCAGAGGAGAGAATTTTAGACGGTTAAGGCCAAAAAAAAAAAAAGTAACAGGAGGGTATTAAGCAGGTGGTAACCACTGTAAAAAATTGGCAGATTGTCTTAATTCTACACCAGTGTGCTGCTATTATTTATACTGCATATATACCTATCAGGTATTCTAAAAACAACTTAATAGATAGTATCTCTTATGTAGTTCAGTATTTATGTGTAACAGTCAGCTATGAACATTGTAGTGGCTATAATTTAAAATGTACATTCTTTTATAGCTTAATCTTTTAGTGTAATCTACTTTATTTTGCAGTTTATAGTTATTAACATTATTTTATAGTGCTTATAAGTATGCTAGATACTTGTTCATACTAAATTATATGATCATATAAACTGTGCCATAGCAATATTTATGATGAAAATAGAGACAAACTGCCAGAATAAGAACATTTCATAGGTGGGACTCTTAAATGCTTCGCTAGTCTTAGTGTATGGTTTTGTTTTCCTCATTAGATAAAGCTATTGCAGTGCTGTCTGCCTGTTTAGAAAGTGACAACCTTACTGCTCAAAGAATAGGAGCATCTGCACTTTGGTCTTTGCTTCACAATTATCAGAAGGTTAGTACTTGAAAAATACTTTCAATTAAAAAAAAATCAAATCACTTAATCTGCAGTTATAATAGTTATATCCTTATAATAGTTTTGCTACAATGTTGATCTACAAGGTAGATGTCCTTTAAAATGTATCCTCTGTATAATTAGGCCTCCATCCAGCAACTTGTTTGTCTTATAGACAGACACATCATACCTGGGCAGATCCCACTGAAGAGAATGAAGCTCCACCTCCACAGCAAGTTGTGGATTTGGGGCCTTTATAAAATAAATAAAAAACCTATTCACTTTACGACTCAGATCCTTTGATATTTTTTAATTAAAATAAAATCACTTTATAAAGAGATATACAAAGAAGAGTCATACTATTTTTCACATCAGCTTAACTTACAAGAACACTTATGTTACTTATCATGTAACTTCTGAGAGATGCTGATGGCAGTATGAGATTTTTATTACTTTAGAACTCACAAATATATTCCTTTTTGTACTGTACCTTTTACCATGAAGTTTGCAAGAATGTCATTTACTTTTGCTTGCCAGCTTAATATTCAAAGCAGTATGTCCTGGCACACCAAGCCATATCTTGGGAAATGGGTTCCATTATTGCTGCAGTTCATTGCTCTCCTGTTTTATTTTTTCACAAATGCAGTGTATATGATGGTATAATCACAGGCTGAACTGTTAAATCCTTGACTGCTGTATTCTGTTGGCTTACAGCCGAAAAATAGCTGTGGGTTGAAGTCATAGCCTGATTTTCAGGGCATCAGCATGAGGGAATAAATGTAGTTACTGGATTATTCCTTATTTGTGCTACAGGCAAAAGTGACTCTGAAGAATCCATCAATAAAGAGAAGAGTAGATGAGACTTACTCTTTAGTGAAGAACAGTAAGTTATTGGTGAATGTAATTTCCATTTCAAAGAAGCAACAGTCAAGTCTGTAATTTTTCTGTAAAAAAAGATCATTAATATACTGTATTGCTCTGCAGCACATGAAAAAGGAAACATTTTGTTGTGTTGTGATTTTCTAAAATTTTATGTTCTGCTTGATTGATCCTTTTAAATCCACATGTGCTTTGCTGTTCCGCATCTTCCCCCATCCCCCCCCAAAAAAACCCACCTTCTGGTGACAAATTGTAAATAAGATTTGTGAGGAGGTAATTGCTAAGGATTAGTCTGAGATATACATTTGATTGTACTGGCAGCAAAATAATGTTGATGACTCAGACTCTCTAAAGTCTAAAACCTTGTATTTTGGTGATAAGAAGCACTGCCCAGTTAGAACTGACCCTACTTAACTTTGCTGAATTCAGCTGCACTAGGGAGACCAGAATACTATGCCATAATTTACATTTATGCTGTAAATTGGCTGGTTTTCACGTTGACTTTGGATGGTGTTTTCTTTTTTTAAAATACAGGCAGTCCCCGGGTTACGTACAAGATAGGGACTGTAGGTTTGTTCTTAAGTTGAATTTGTATGTAAGTCAGAACTGGTACATATTGTACCCCAGGTGTCCCTGATTCAGCCACTGCTGAAACTGACCAGTGGCTGACTACAGGAAGCCCGAGGCAGATCTGCTTTGCCCCGGGCTTCCTGGAATCAGCCGCTGATCAGTTTCAGCAGCAGCTGACTTGGGGACACCCGGGGGGGGGCG